CTGCTATGACTTATGGCTACACCATTATGCCTATTATATCTGCAGATGGACATCTCCTTTCGCCTTTGTACATAGTATTAAAAGAATCTACTGGTGTTTTTGGACCACAAGTAGAACAAACTCTTTTTAGACCAGTGAATATTTACATTGCGGCTTCAAAATCAGGGAAATTGACAACTGAACATTTCAAAAATTGGTTCCAAGAAGTGTATCTACCAAACACTGGAGAGAAAAGTATACTACTGCTTGATTCATGGACAGTACATTGCCCGAACCAATTGGAAGAACTTGTACCAAAAGACAAACATGTAAATATTCTAACAATACCAAAAAAAACAACTGCTTTTATACAGCCATTAGATGTTTTTGGTTTCAGAATCTGGAAAAATTTTGTTCGAAGCTTTTCTGATAGTGTTATTATAAATAATTATGACATAAATTTACATTTACGTAATAACATAATAAAATTGCAATCTTTAACACACAATCAACTGTCTTCTCCAAGATTTCGAAATTTATTTAGATATAGCTGGTATAAAAGTGGTTATTTATCAACACGGCCTGAAAAATTTCATAATCCAATCGATTATTGTTATTTTAAAGAAGAAAAACGTATACCAAAATGTAGCATTTGTGGTAAAATGGCTTTTATACGTTGTGCATGGTGCAAGCAATATTTTTGTTTTGAACATTTCTTTGAGCAATATCATTATTGTAATAATTATATAGAATAAATAATATTTTACTGTCCTCAATTCCTGTAAAATTTGTATATATTATAATCCATACCAAAATATAAGATATCTTTCACTCGAATATCTATATCGACTACTTAATTAATAAAAACCTATATACTGAATGAAGCAAAACACATACACACAAATGTACACTGAATAAATTTATAAATTATATTTTTCATTATTAAATCCGTGTGTGTTCTCCTTTTTTCTTCATATCATTCATTTCCTTATTTGTTCTTTACAATTGAATTTAAAAGATTATCTATATTAGGGTTATATACACTCTCTCTGCGTCCTCCTTATCATGCTGTTCTTCTTCAACTTACTTCTTAACATCAACTTTATTGCTTTTTTAGATTTTCTATTTTCTTCCTTCCTTATCTTTTACAGTTTGCAATTATGAGGAAGATTTGAGGAAGAAAGAAATGCCATCGTCAAGTAGCGAATCCTTAAGTTTGATACGCGTAGCATACATATAAGAGCATGTTTAATTTTTTTTTCAATATTGCCTTTTCCAAACATAATGTTATTATATATGGTTGAATTTGTCATAAAATAAGCTTTATTTTGGTTGGACAATTGATTTTAACAATTTGAAAAAAGAGAAGGAGGGGGGGTATTTTATACACAATTTTACATTTTTAAAAAATCTAAATATAGCATAATAAAGTACTTTTAAAACCATAAAACTTTTGTCTAAAACATTTTTTCATATCTTTAATAGTTTCGATAATATTCGCTTAGAAAGACAAAAATCAACTTTGTTCAAGGGGTTGTTTCCACCCTTAAAACCGTTTTTGGGCACCAACGAAAAATTTTTTTGTTATTAGGTATATCTGCTCTACAATTATGCAGAGTTTCAGATTTTTTTGAATTTCCGCGTTGCCGAATGTCCCTTGTTAGTTACATTTATTTGGTAACTAGTAACTAATTTAATAGTTACTTTATATATTTCAAACCTAAGTTTCTGGTAGTACCACAAATGCTTATAGTATAGACATCTGTGGGTAGCATAATAATGCTACGTGCGATGCTTGATATCCAACAAGCGTTAATTATTCTAGCTGCGTTTGGAAAGTGTGCTATTGCGCTATCTTTATCATTCATTAGATGTAAAACAAGGGTAAAATGACGCAATAGCGCTGATAGTCTCCTCTTCGAACACAATCTGTATTCCTTTCAAAATATTATATTCTTATTGGATATTTCTATGGCACATCGCCAGTCTTTAGTCGTTAACATAACCTTCGTTTAGCGTAAAGTACACTGCGTGGTTCCAATTACTTCAAAATGGAAGCAATGGATAAAACATCGTAATCATTAGAAAAAGATTTAAAAATGCCTGGCCAGCATATGCGAAAGTATTCGAAGTATTATTCATTATTCAATATATTTATAACAAAGTAACGTTATAATGTATAACATTTTATATTCATAATAAAATATAATTAACTAAGGTATAATTTAAATTAATTTGAAATTTACACAATTACAAAATTTAAAATAATAGCACATTTATTATAGAAAAGTAACTGAAAAGTAACGACTCGTTACTTTTTAAGTAACTGTAACTGTAACATGTTACTTTTGAAAGTCAGTAACTTGTAACTAGTTACTTTTTCAGTAAAGGAAACTGTAACTGTAACTAGTTACTTTTACGAAGTAACTTTCCCAACCCTGAATTAAAGTAATACGTAATGATCGTTACATTGTACAAAAGATAGGCGATCACGAAGGTCCATATGAGACGTCGACATCAGCCGATTATATAAAGTTTTGGTCACCCGTCAGACGATGAATCTGATGATGGACCAATGTAACACCCGAGGACGGATGTTATTTCAGGACGACCAACATGTAGAAACATAGAATATTGAAAGGCGCGCGATGCCGAGATGTTTTCGCTTGCAGCGAAGAAGCGTTTCACGCGCGAGGGCGTGGCGAGGAGAAAAAAAGCGATCGTCAACTTTTGCGGAGAGTCGCATAGAGAGCGTCAGAGCGCACACACGCAAGCTTGAGTCCGAGAGCATTTTACGATTCCGTACGGTCGCGGACATAACAATGCCCGGACATAATAGTGCCCGTTTTTTTGCAACTTTCGGAATGCATCCCGACTCGAGAAGAATGAGAGTCACTGCTCCGCCTGCGGAGCACGCCTGCACAGTGACTCACAACGAAAGGCAAGAAATGAAATATACGCGGTGGGACATATTATAATAATACAGACTCAGATGAAATGAATACTCCAGCATTAAATGGAAATGAGAGAACACAGAACAGACAAGATTCATCCGATGTAAGTCTTATACTCTGGGGGACATCCGAAAAAGGTAGAGATAAATAAACATGTTTATGTTTTTAAAACAATACGAACTTAATTAAGAGAATTAAGCTGCATTACGACAGTTACGATTCTGTTATACATTTATATGTGATTTATTGTTTCAGCAACAGCCATCTTCTATAGCAGAAGCAATGATATTAAATACAGAAGCAGCTGTTATAGCGAATTTTGAATTTTTAGGACAGGATATGGAAGAGGAAGAAGGAGATGGAGAGGATGAAATTTATGATGCAAATACGGATACCAAACCAAATAAAGTAACGTTTACTATCATCTTACGTTTTAATGATATTGTTCACGATATTTGTTAACATAATTTCTTATTTTTCATTATTTCATAAATAATAAATCACATATAAATGTATAACAGAATCGTAACTATCGTAATGCAACTTAATTCTCTTAATTAAGTTCATATTGTTTTAAAAACATAAACATATTTATTTATCTCTACCTTTTTCGGATGTCCCCCAGACTTACATCGGATGATTCTTATCTGTTCTGTGTTCTCTCATTTCTATTTAATGCTGGAGTATTCATTTCACCTCAATCTGTATTATTATAATATGTCCCACCGCGTATATTTCATTTCTCGCCTTTCGTTGTGAGTCACTGCGCAGGCGTGCTCCGCAGGCGGAACAATGACTCTCATTTTTATCTAGTCGAGATGCGTTCCGAAAATTGTAAAAAACGGGCAAACATTATTATGTCCGCGACCGTACACTACTGTTTCATCGCGTTTCCTGTACTTTATACTTTTAGGATTCAACTGATTATTAAATATATCATAGCCATTATATCGGCTCTTTATCTAGATCCTACATATATTCGTGTAATAATTCGCTCAAGTTTGAAAATAATGAAGAAATGTTTAATTAAATATTAAATATACCTTGAAAAACATTTTCAAATGCTCGAAAATAAAATTACATTATAGAAAATGCTAGCTATTATGTACTGATATATTAACATCATTGCGCTAACGGCGAACTACTAAACAAATGATTCCATAAGTAATAACTCACTATCTAATTCGCTATTAGAATTCGCTACCTAATAACAGAGATATTGAGAGTGGTCATAATACAAGGACCATAATACTATCTTCTCCTCTATACAGGGTGTTCCGTAAGTCGAGGTCAATCGCTCGAGAGAGGAATGGGAAACCACAAACGAGAAAGAAAGTTGATACAAATATAGGTCCAAAAATGCGTTGTTTTCGAATTATCGCCATTTTATGTTAAAATTTGAAATTGCTTTGCTTTCGAATTTTTTTGGTTTTGGAATTTCGATGGTTTTTATGAGTTTCAAAACACAACTAAAGTCAAATAAAAGTTGCGGGCTGCTTTAGCACTATCCAGGATGCACCGCGTGGAGGTACAGCCCTCTTAGCATCCTTTGACAGAGATCAGGACCCCACAATTCGTCACTCCTGTGGTAAATTGTTATTGTACAAGCTTTGTTTCCGAACACCTCATATAATTTTTACGTTCACACACACACACACATGCGCACACACACACGCACGCACACACGCACGCACACGCACACATGCACGCACACGCACGCACACACACGCACACACGCGCGCGCGCACACACACATACACACACGCACACACACACACACGACAGAGAGGGTTTGGAGTCACTAAATACCACAGGAAAGACGAACTGTGGGGTCCTGATCTCTGCCAAGGGTCCTGATCTCCACGCGGTGCATCCTGGGTAGTACTAAAGCAGCCCACAACTTTTATTTGACTTTAGTTGTGTTTTGAAACTCATAAAAACCATCGAAATTCCAAAACCAAAAAAATTCGAAAGCAAAGCAATTTCAAATTTTAACATAAAATGGCGATAATTCGAAAACAACGCATTTTTGGACCTATATTTGTATCAACTTTCTTTCTCGTTTGTGGTTCCCCATTCATCTCTCGAGCGATTGACCTCGACTTACGGAACACCCTGTATATATTATGTTGATAAGCAAGTTGCGCAGTTACTTACTAGTTTTGAATGTTTAATATATGGAATTTCTCCTCGGAAAGCTTCATATATTTGCGTTAAATAAGAAAACATGGCAAGTTTGTCAGGAACGTCACATCCAGCCATTTCCATTCCAGTCATTATCTGTAATCATAATTATTATAAGTCAATTTTATGAAAATGCAAGCAAAGGAGAGAGCTGAAAAATTAAATAAAGTATTGATAAACTCCCATTTAACTCTGACGTTATACTCATTTTTAGTGATTGACAAATCGATTGAGAAATCTATTAAATATATATTTGAAAAAATCGATTTAAAAGTTATTGGAAACCACTTACTGTAAGATATAATCATTATTCTTTTTCTTTTGTTTATGTTTAACATAATTTTAATAATATAATTCTGATTTTCTCTAGTTTTATTTCCATATACTAGGTGCGCAACTAAGTTTCCGGGTTTTTTTGATCAATGAAAAATGGAAAATTTCAAGAGGAATACAAAAAATGGTTTATTCAAAGTATCGTCCCTCGCTAGCTACACATTTTTGCCATCTCTATGGCAATACATGAATACGGCGACGATAAAACGACGCGTCTTTGGATCGAAACCATTCATCCAACCAATTTTGCACTTCTTCGAAATTGGCCAAGTGTTGCCCAGCCAAGCCATGCGCCATCAACCGGAACAAATGATAATCAGAAGGGGCCTGGTTTGGCGGATATGGCGGGTGCGGTAGCAGATCCCATTTCAGCGTTTTGATGGTGTCCTGGACGATGGAAGTGCGATGGCACGGAGCATTGTCGTGCTGCAATATCACTCGTTCGTGTCTTGTGTCCCATTCTGGCCGTTTCTCGAACAATGCATGGTGCAAATTGATCAGTTGTCGGTAGCGATGCCCATTGACAGTTTCGCCCGGTTTCAGTAACTCATAGTACACGATTTCCACCAAACGCAAAACATTGTCTTCTTTCCGAAGCGATTTGGCCGTGCCGTCGATGTTGATGCTTCGCCAGGTGAAAGCCACGATTTTTTGCGTTTGGGATTCTCGAAATATATCCACTTCTCATCGCCAGTAACAATTCGATGCAGGAAACTCTTTCTTTCATGCCGCAAAAGCAAAATTTCGGAAGTGGCTCTTCGACTTTCCATCTGTCTCTCAGTCAACTCATGCGGCACCCATTTTCCTTCCTTTTGAATTTTTCCCATGGCATGTAAACGTTTGGAAATACCTTTGCGAGTCATATTTAATGCCTCCGCAAGTTGATCTTGTATTTGTGCATCACCTTCATCCAATAACACTTGCAGATCAGCGTCCTCAATTGTTTTTGGTCTTCAGCAGCGCTCCTTGTCCTCAGTGTCGTAATCGTCACTTCTGAAGCGTTTAAACCAATCTTCACAGGTAGTTTTCGATGGTGCATGTTCGCTGTAGGCCTCCTCAAGCAAACGACGTGCTTCAGTTGCACTTTTTTTCAAGTTAAAGCAGAAAAGTAAAGTTTCCCGCAAATGCTGTTTATTTGCCACAAAACTCGACATCTTCGTTGTTAGAAAAAATATTTTTGCGTTGCGATATATGTTGGTATTACGACTGGTTATTGTTAAAAGATGTCCAAGCTATAAAAAAGAAACAACTTCAGACATGTATGTCGACTATATGTGTCGTTAGCGCCATCCACGTGTGACCCCGGAAACTTAGTTGCGCACCTAGTATATATTAGGTCTATGCATAAATTTTATACCAGGTCTGTAAATATGAAATCGGAATTTGCCCATAGATGACCCTAGCTGTCAATGTAGTTACCGTCAAACTGCGTCATTGGTGCCATTTCCATTTTTTGACATCTGACAAAGTTTTTCAACTCACAACAATACAAGTTTCATACAACAGCATTGTTTGTAACAGCGTTGAACATGTCGAATTTTGTGCCTGGAAGCTACGATTTGCGGACAGTATTGATTTTCTGTTACCATTTGAAGAAAACTGCAGTAGAATCGCACCGAATACTTGTTGAAGCTTACGGTGAACATGCTCTTGGTAAATCACAGTGCTTGGAGTGGTTTAAAAAATTCAAACGTGGCGATTTTGACATGAGAAACGAAGAACGTGGAAGACCATCGAAAAAGTTTGAAGACAGCGAATTGCAAGCATTGTTGGATGAGGATGACGCTCAAACGCAACAGCAACTCGCGAATCAATTAAATGTGACACGAGAAGCCGTCTCCATACGTTTGAAAGCCCTGGAAAGATCCAGAAGATGGGAAAATAGGTTCCACATGAACTGAATGAAAGACAGCAGGAAAACCGAAAAACCACTTGCAAAATGTTACTCGCCAAGTACAAAAGAAAGTCATTTCTCCATCGAATTGTGACTGGCGATGAAAAGTGGATATATTTTGAGAATATTAAGCCTAAAAGATCATGGGTAACTCCAGGCGAACCATCGACATCGACTGCAAGGCCAAATCGCTATGGACGGAATACAATGCTCTGTGTTTGGTGGGATCAGAAGGGTGTGATCTATTGTGAGCTGCTAAAACCTGGCGAAACCGTTCATATTGAACGCTACCGACAACAAAGGATCGATTTGAATCAAACTTTGCGTAAAAAATGATCAGAATATCAAAAAAGGCAGCACAAAGTGATTTTGCTTCATGATAATGCACCATCACACACAGCAAAACTGGTCAAGGAAACGATTGAGGCGTTTAGTTGAGAAATACTTCCACATGCGGCTTACTCATCAGACTTGGCTCCATCCGATTACTACTTATTTGCATCGATGGGACACGCACTTGCTGAGCAGCGCTTCACTTCTTACGAAAATGTACGAAAATGGCTCCATGACTGGTTTGCCTCAAAAGAGCAACAGTTTTTTTAGCGTGGCATTCACAAATTGTCAGGCAGGTGGGAAAAATGTATAGCTAGCGATGGGCAATACTTTGAATACAATATTTTTTATCATTTTCATACAATAAATGTATATTTTCTATTAAGAGTACAAATAAGTTTCCACCGTTTGACAAAAGATGGCCCCACCAGAAGGTTATGTTGAAATTGTCAGATGTAAAACGTAATATCGTAAGTTTGGACATCTGATAATAACATAACCTTGAAGTATTAGTGACTCCGTATCAGCATCACATAATTTTTTTCATGCGAAAATGTCAAGTTTTGTGCCGAATAAGCGTCATTTGCGGGAACTTTTGATTTACTTCTTTAATTTGAAGAAATCTGCAGCTGAGGTGCATCAATTGCTTGTAGAAGCATATGGTGTGGCTGCTTTAAGTGAGAGAAGTTGTCGTGAGTGGTTTCAAAAGTTTAAAAACTGTGAGTTTGACGTGGAAGACAAAGAACGTAGTGGAAGGCCGAAAATGTAGGAGGACACGGAATTGGAAACATTATTGGAGGAAGATTCGTGCCAAACGCAAGAAGAACTTGCATTAGAAGTGACTCAGCAAGCAATTTTACATCGTTTAAAATCGTTGGGAATGATTCAAAAACATGGAAATTGGGTTCCATATGAACTGAAGCCGAGAGAAGTTGAACGCCGATTTTGCACGTGTGAAATGCTGCTTGCCAGGCATAAAAGAAAGGGTTTCTTGCATTGTATAGTCACTAGTGATGAAAAATGGATCCACTACGATAACCCAAAAAAGAAAAAATCATGGGGACTACCTGGCCATGCTTCAACGTCGACAGCCAAACCGAATATTCATGGAAAAAAAACTCATGCTGTGTATTTAGTGGGATCAGCTTGGTGTCGTGTATTATGAGTTGCTCAAACCGAGCGAAACCATTACTGGATCTCTCTACCGAACACAATTAATGAGATTGAGCCGAGCACTCAAGGAAAAACACGCCCATTATTACTCCAGAGACGACAAAATTATTCTCTTACATAACAACGCTCGGCCACATGTTGCAAAACCGGTCAAAACCTATTTGGAAACATTTAATCGGGAAGTCCTACCCGCCATATTCACCAGACATTGCCCCTTCCGATTATCACTTGTTCCGGTCGATGGCACATGGCCTATCTAAACGGCGTTTTACAACATATGAAGATACTAAAAATTGGGTCGATTCGTGAATAGCCTCAAAAGATGAAGAGTTCTTCCGATGTGGTATCCGAATGCTGCCAGAAAGATAGGAAAAAGTAGTGGCTAGTGATGAACAATACTTTGAATAAAACGTAATGTACTTTTCTTTCACAACAAATTCCTAATTTTTTATAGAAAACGGCGGAAACTTACTTGTACACCTAATATAAGCATTTAAACCTTTAGCAATTTAATTCATGATTGAACTCCATTGACACAAAGTTGCGTTCGCGATACAACAAAAACAATAAAGACCTTAGAGTACATACATGATGTTAACCAAAAGAAACATAAATAAATACATTTATCAGGAGACGGGTCTGTGATCTGTATTTATGTTTCACGGTAAATGTGTTTATTTATGTTTCTTTTGGTTAATCAAGTACGTATTTTAAAGTCTTTTCGATAGAAGCATGTTCCAAACAAATTTTTCAGATAAAATTTACTTGCTGTTTTCCCATAGAATCCAAATATGCAACATTTTATAGGGAGTTTAATTTAAAATTATGAAGTTATCCCTATCCCCCCTTAAAGGGGAAGCAGAGACGACTTTACGTTTATGTAATTAGAAAGGCCTCTCGAATACATGAAACTTCCTTATGAACAATTTTTTGATTTGATAAATATTTTTAAAGTTATGGACTTGTAACACTTTACGTGGGCCACTCTGTATAATTTTTATATTTAAATTATACGTACATTGTAATTTTATAAGTGGAAGTGATACCACAAGCAAGCAGCTCAGTAACGTGCATGAGCGCTTAATCGCTACATCGTTACGCAAATGACGAACATCTAATGAATATACACTCAAACGCAAAAAACCCGGTACACTAAAAATTTGGGAAAAAATTACAAAATTTCAAATGATCATAACTTGGTAAATAATGAAGATACAAATATGCGCAGAAATGCAAAATGAAGCTTGAAACGTCCTCTTTAAGAATATCTGAATGGCAATTATGCTCGGCCATTTTTTTCAAAATGGCGGATGATAAAGTGAGAGGATGCAAAATTGATAATCAAAGGTCCGTGTTTGCGATG